TCTATATATATCTATATCTACACTCTACAGTTTTCTAGATGTTGGAGGGATCTGATTGTAGTTAGCATTTAATTGAGATACGAAAAGCCAAAAACATCAGAGAAAATAAGAATATTGTTTCAGGAACTTGTTGGGGAGATTTGTGAAATCCAAATATGCCGAATTTTGAGGCTACGAGTGTTTATAATAGAATGCATGACACCACTTACCGATGGCGTGGAATAGCATTGCATCAGTTGCGCTACAGTGAAGAATAAGCGAGAAATTTCAGAGGCATTTGCAGCGTATGTCCTTAAGTATAGTGCGGTCTCATGAAGTCTAATAGTACATCTAACATCAGGTTTATATCACTGCAACGACAGCAGGTAGAATTGCTTTATCGTACAAGAAATGTGTGAACGTAAACGAAACGCTCAAAAATGACTTGGGTGTTGCAAACATGTGCATGTATGAATATAATTGCACACGTCAATGAAAATACACAACCGACATAGCACTATTCATCAGCGTCAGTATGTTTAAATTTTGAATTGAAATTGGGTTTGTTCGTGCGTGAATGTAATAATACAGGTATATATGCATATATATATAGCTGTTAAATGTTTTATTTCCATGGCAACATATGCGTATTTCACTAAATTTCCCTGAATAAAAACACACATACATGATAATCACACACACTTTGGCCAATGTAAGTGAATGAGCCATTGACATGAGATAATAAATCAAGCATCTAGCAAGCGAGCAGGGCATGTCTATAGAGTTGTGTGGATACTCACACTCGCAAAAGCTCTGTACAAACTATATGTGTGTATGTGTGCTCTCCGTTGACGACGCCTGGTATTAACCAGTGCACTGCAGTACACTCAGCATCCTAAGTATACAGCTGAATACAAATACACGTGCATATACAAATAACTGCATGGTGGGCTCGTATATAAATATGTAGAGCCCTCCCCATGCCATGACAAATTGCGTAGCACTGTCCAACAAGATGTGTCTGTAGTACACGGTCGGTAACATATGGGCACGCACAGTTCAGAAGAACGGCAACCGTTTGCCGTAGTTTGTATTCTCTTTCTTGAATACGGCAGTCCAAACGTATACAAAACAGATCGGATCGTTGACATTTGTCTTCAATGCATGATATCTGTGTACTGTTTTCAATACAGCTGCATATGAACAAATACATCCTCATATCCGTATCGTTAACGCCTACGATCCTTACGTGCTGTTCTTGTGCTTACCCCTGTGTCTCGACACACTGCACCATCCAGTTTATCAAGGTGCGCCTATTCTCTGTTGTAACTTGTGATAAATTCGACACAAGATCAACAAACGGCACATGGGCGGCGTATGTCTGGAGAGATTCATCTGCGTGTTCTTGCGCAGGTAGCTGCCAGTTGAATTAAAACGGATTCAGAACTTGAGACTTTGAACTAAATTTTGGACACAGAAAGAGGTAAAAAATATGAAAACTATCTTTTCCTAAACTGCTTCTACCTCGCTGCTAGACTTGCTACCAGCTTTTTATGCATGCAGAGGACTACACAACAACAAAAAAGTACTTCACATACCACGGCTTCGACTCAGAAAGTGATTTGATGTATACATCTGTAAGTAAATATAATATCTGCTACAACCTTGAACTCTGAAAGCTGATTGTGCTCGTGATCGATCTGACAGGCTGCATAACTGACCATTAATGTGGGGTATATATATATTATATATATTTATATTTATATACATATA